GCTGGACAGAGGGACTCATTTCTGCTGCCAAGGCGGTGGGATGGGGAGCCACGGAGATGGTGTAAGTTCTCATTGAATTTCTTTGCATCTGAAATGAATGATGATTCTTATTTCAAGCAAATGGTCTGCACCGTTTGAGCAACAGGAACTGCATCCACAGCTGTTCTGAGTATCCATTTACGACCTTTTAACAGGAAGTGTAGCCTGTCATAGGCTGAAGCATTAATGTCGTGTGTTTGCCCGATTTCTCACAGAGAGTCTGCTGATAAGGTGGTTCTGCACACGGGAAAATATGAGGAGCTGATCGTCTGCTCTCATGAGATTGCTGCAAGCACGGCGCAGCTGGTGGCGGCTTCAAAGGTAAGATGTACACACAAAGGTTAAAGATTTTATATTAGGGCCCCGGTTTAGCTCAGCCATGTGGCATATGATCGCCTGTTCATCCTACTAAGAGTGGCCAGCCCAGGCTCGAATCTGACCCGCGGCCCGTTGCCGCATGTCTTCCCCTCTCGCTCTCTCCCTCTGCTTTTCTGACAGTCTCTACTGACCTTATGAAATGAAGGCAAAAAAGCCCCCAAAATTATTAAAAAATGTTACATTAATAATATTACTGCATAAAACTGAATTTAGACTAGACTTTACTTCCTGTTTATTCCTTCAGTGACTTTAGAGGGCCTTATTGACTTTAAGTGAAGGACCACACATTGAACAGTTGCTAGAACTGGGGCTAATTTACGTTAAACATAATGAATCTGGCAGATTATTTTATTGCAGGCCTGGGTTCTTCTTTCTAAAATCAAAAAGTTCCTCTCAGGAGATGTAGCAGCACCTCCTACAGGTGTTGGAAAGGTGGGCCCTGTGGGCTAAGGGTGGACCATAGTGCCCCACCCCAGGCCTGACTCCAGCATGGGGAAATGGTAAAAGTAAACCTGTCCTGGGTGGGAAGTTAATTTTATTTATTTTTAGTAATGGAAAGATTGCGCATCTCAGCTGGTTTGGGAACACCGTGGTGTCCCTCTCGAGAAGCTGTTGGAGGTGGCAGGTGTAGATGGCACAACCTGCACCCTGATAAGTGTTAGAAAATGGATGGATTAAAAATACTGACTTTTGTGGCTTTAGAGTTTGAATAATGTAATCTTGTCTCATACCACACTCTCCGGTGCTCTCAGGTTAAGGCAGATCGCCACAGCAAGAAGCTGACAAAACTCCAGCACGCTTCTCGCCACGTGAACGAAATGGCAGCTAACGTGGTGGCCTCGACAAAGACGGGCCAGGAGCACCTGGAGGACAAAGGTGAGTGGAGTCTGATGTGTGCAACCGACCGTCATGAACTCTGATGAGCATCTAATATGGCTCTTTCACCCACCTTTTATTTGCAGATACAATGGACTTCTCTGGGTTGTCGCTAATTAAGCTGAAAAAAGAAGAAATGGAGTCACAGGTTAGTCATGGGGCATACTGAAGCATGCCTGCCTGATATTTACTGTGAGGCTGTGGAAATCTCACATTCAGCACATTTCTGTGAATTGTTCATATAGAGTTTAGTCAGATTCAATCTGTATTTTGCTGTACAGCTTATGTAATTCTGCTGGTCTAATGTGGTGGATGCAGGAACAAATACCTCACTTAATTTTTTTTTCCCCCCCCCCCTCTCCTCAGGTGAAAGTGTTAGAATTGGAGAGCATCTTAGACAATGAGCGTCTGCGCTTGGGCGAGCTCAGGAAGAAGCACTACGAGATAGCCGGAGTTCCTCTGGACCAGCTTGCCGAGGGGAACGGTGAAACCTCCTCGCTGGTCAATCCTGTCACCATGTCACCAAAACCCTTAAAGCCCAGTCTCATGAAGAAACCTCCGCTGGCCCAGAAACCCAACATCCCACCCAAAAATCAATTTGCATACAGTGTGAGTTTTAATTTCTTTTCTTTTTTTTTTGCAGATCATTGCTCACAGTAGGAATGTGTCTGATCGGTATATTATCTGATGTACATCAGCTTTTTCAGGAAAAAAATCTAATTGAATGTAGTGGGCTCAAAATCTCACTCATCAAATGTGATCCACTTGGTGTTGCTGGATTTAGAAAATGAAAATGTGGCTTTTTTCTGAATATCAACTTTTTTTTCCCCCTCTTTGGTGCAGTTTAAATAAATGCCTGAGCAGAAGAATGAGAAGCACTAACAGGATGGTTGGACTGAAGAGGAGGAAGACAGCCTTTTTGTGAACCTGCACTTCCTTTAAGTTGCATGCTGACAATCCTCTAATCCTGCTTCTATTGTCTCTGTGTCCTGCTTTTATTTGTCTTTGCTTTTTTTGCCAAAATGGACCAGAAGCCTGATGTTTGATGCTTGATGTCTGGTTTTTTTTTTTTTGTTTTTTTTGTTTTTTTTTAATTATTATTATTTTATTTTCATGTTATTGTTAGGCATCGAGAACAAAAGGTAAATATTAAAGTTTTGGTTGTATTTGAAGTCTTTTTTTTTTCTCTTCTCTATATAATTTTAAACCATTAAACACGACTCCTGCTTTTTAAAATGCAAACCTCATCACTGACCCCAAATTGACAGCATATCTTGAACTTGTAGGATTGTTAGATTTGATCATCTTCTTTTCCGTTTTGGGGTTATTTTATTTTTTTTCGCTGTTTTGGATGTTTGTCACAGAGCACATCAGTTTTCTCAGCGTACACTGTATGATATTTGTGGTGTGGTGGGTTTTAACGAAAACTGGGGGAATCGCTTGCATCCACGTTTCACAAATTTAACATACCTCCAAGCTTCGCCTTGACGATGGATGCCATTCATGTCCCGTGTAAAACTGCTTTCTTTCTCAAGAATACAAGATTGTCTCAGAGGCCTTGAATAGTGATGTACCAGTGCACTGAATGATACCTGTAGAGACATACAGTCTGTATAGGAGTGTGCAAAGTATTTATAGCTACACTCATCTCTTTAAATGCCCCTTTACTAGCAGAGAACCTGGATATTATGTCAAATAGATGCTGTAGTGCTTGCACACACATACTGGCTGTAGGTGTCCTTAATTATCAAATGCTTCTTTCAGGCTGAATATGCAGATTTAGGTTTTAGTAGTTGTATGATATCAAGGTGTTGAAGTCCTTGCTGCCTCTGGGAGCCTTTTCTTATAGGGTCTTACAGGTTCTGTTCTTTCCTCTGTATGAAATGTCTTTATAAGCTCAGATCTATTAATATATTTTAGTAAAGATACTGGTGGGTTTTTTTTTCCTTGTAACATGAATGAACAATAAATGTTTGATTTTAATGTGGCATTGTGTTCATTCCTCTTCTCAGATTACGGATGATTTTAAGGAGATTTCATCAGTAACCTTTTCATATCTGATTGTTGATTATAACTATTTTTGTCACACTGGTAATATTAACAACAGCTGAAGTTTAAAACCAATAACAAAGATTTGACATGCTAGTAAATATTGGGGAGCAGGAGCTTTCAGTCTTTCTTTACTGCAGTCGTACAGATGAACATAGACCACACATGCAGCAGGCATTAGTTTATGGTTATAAATTGTGAGCTGAGGCAAATCTAGAGCGGCAGATGGCATATTACAAATACAGTTAGGTCCATAATTTGTTGAACAAAGACAACTTTGATTTAAATACACTATAAGAATGACTGAACTCCAGACATTCTGGGGTCTCTCTTTGCCCTCAGTTTTGTTTGTAATAACTGAAAAGCTGGTCTATCAGGTGATTTCTTTCCCTTCACAAAAAATTTGGTTCCTTTATCAGTATGGATTGGGCCATGTCATATCTACTTGCATTTTCCAGTGCTGTCTGATCAGTTTTCAATATTTGGCTGAATCAGAGCAGAGTGTACACCTCTGTACCCTTAAGAATGCATCCTGCTGCTTCTATCAGCAGTCACATCGATAGCAACTACTAGTGACCCACTTCCACTGGCAGTCACACATGCCCATGCCATAACGTTGTGTGGGGAAAATCCCCGCAGGTTCTGAAATACTCAGACCAGCCTCTCTGCCACCAACAACCATGCCACGTTTAAAATCACTTAAACCACCTTTCTTCCTCATTCTGATGGTCAATTTAAACCTCAGAAGGTCTACATGAGTAAAAATGAATTACTGCCCTGTCAGTGGCTATGTAATGGTTAATGTATCTGTGTACTTCAAACATCTTACTTTCCATTGAATAAAGATACATAAAACAAACAAACAAACAAACAGTACATTCAGCATGCCCGGCTTAATGCTGAATAATGGACATTTGTAACGATGTCAATACGCATGAGCTTGAAACCACAAAGAAGAGGTTCAAAAGAACATTTCTAACTAGAACCGTTTTAATTGCAGCCTTTTGTGCATTTTATATATATGAATTTTGCAAAACTTACCTGGAAATTTACAATAATAATAATAATATTAATAAACGCTTTCAAATTATTAATGACTAATTCAGACAATTAAGAAAATAACACTGAACATATGAACCATGCATTGTTACCACAACATATATCAGTGACACTGGCGATATTTTAATATTTTCATTTAACTTTTTTTTGTTTTATGTATTTTGCTGTACTGCTTATTATTTCCTGCTTGTCGCTAAGGCGCCACGTACGGCCGGGATATTTTAGAGCCTACATTAGGAGCATAAAAGGTAACGAATTACTGATATTTCGACATGCGCAGTTCGGCCTGGAGACAACGAGGATTGCTGCCTTCACAGACAATTTTAAATATGACCAGCGTCTTGAAATCACACGTAGAACTGCTGGAACAGAGGAGTATGCGTTTCTCTCAGTTTTCTTACTTAGCGTGAGCTAAAAAAACATAAGCACTGATATTTGTTTAAACACCCAACGAACTGCTGTTTCATCATACACGACTCCAAGTATCGCCAAAATTATTTTACTTCCAATAATCACCGGTCCTTTAAAAAAATGAAAGGGGGTATTTACACGTTTTCCCTCGTATTTCGTCATGTCTCTGTTTTACATCTGATAACATGCAAAAATGTCACGTTTTACCGCGGATGAGGACATTTACGACTTTTCGCGGGTATGTGAACGCGGCAGAAAGTTTTAACTGTCAACAAACTGCGTTCTCGCTCAGGTTCCTGTTTGCTTAGGTAAACTCGTCTATCTGCAAATTAGTCCTCTCGGAGAGTGAGAGGACATGAAAATATGTAAAAGTCCTGCGGTGTAGATAAAACTGAGCTCAGGCATGGAGAACCGGGCTGTGTCGGTGCTGGACAAACCCGCGGCGGTGCTCACGGTTGTGGATGTGTATGAGATAGCGGCGGTGCTAGGGCAGGAGTTTGAGCGGATGATAGACAAGTTTGGCTGCGACGCTCTCGTCGCATTGGTGCCCCGAGTGGTTCGGGTCCTGGAGCTACTGGAGGCGCTGGTGAGCCGCGGAGCCACTGGGCAGGAGGCCGAGGACCTGCGGAGGGAGCTTGACAGACTGCGGCAGGAGCGGAGCGACAGACACGAGCAGGAGAGGAAGCACCAGAAGGTCAGTGTTTCTACTTCCACCTGTGTGTGTACCTGTTTATGAGGCCTTGTGTCAGGTGAGCAAAAAGGATATCAGCACATTTTATAATTCAGCTGTTAGTGTGGAAAAACAGAATAAAGTGGAGAAAATACAGCTAAAAATGTTTGTGGATGCCTATTGAAGCTATCATTTGTGTATTTTCCTTCAGTCATAGGTTATTGTAGTTAACTAAAACTAGATGTGGAAAAATATTGTAACTTCTAAAATAAAAACTAGAAATACAAAAAAGGGGAAAACTAACTGGAACGATTTTCTGAACTTGGAAAACTAAACTAAAATAAGCATAGAGATTAAATATTATTACAGCTTGCCGGATGAGGCTTTGATTTAAGTGTCTGGACTGTGAGTCAGCTGCTTTTAAACACTTACATGTACTGATTTTTCCTAAATATAGTCTCTGGCACATGCTCTGCACACAATAAAATTTAAAAAGACCAAAACAAATACTGAAACTAATAAAAACTAAACTAAAGCTAAATATTTTCAAACAATACTAACTAAACTGATACAAGAAAATCATCTCTGGAAACTAATGAAAAAATAAAACTATAACAACTATATTCAGGTAGTGGCATTTAATGAGTTGCTTTGAGCACTGTTTGTATTATTTAACATTAGATTGCTGCAGTAGGATGACCATTTCACATCCATTACATAACTGCTTTATAGCACACTGTCTAATGAATCAAACAACCTCCTATCATGTATAATAACAAGACCGGACCTTTAAGACACATGTTGTGTATGCTTGAGTATTTTAAGTACAGATTTTGGGAGCAATAAACCAGATGTGCGGCTGGCCTTATCCAGCACAATATTTCATTTATTTTAGCTGTGGATTAGAGCCATTAGCTGCACAGTTTACACAAATAACTCTCAGATTTACAAGAAATCAGCCCATCTGAGATAATAATTTGTTTTCATGAAAGAAGCAGTGGCAGAGACGCAATTTTTTTTATAGGGTTGAGAAAATTACTTACATTTTCAGTGACAAGAAAATTAATTTTGTTGCCTTCAGTGTTGCTGCAGGCCAAAGAGGTTTTGTTTTTGTTCCCGCACTTCTATCATTTCCTGATGCAGGTGTAACCAGTACTGAAATACATAATCATTTTTTAAGCAACTCTCCAATGATCAAAAAGCAAATCTGGAAGCACTGCTGAAATAGAGTCCCACGATGCAACCATCAGAGTGTGTGTGTGTGTGTGTGTGTGTGTGTGTGTGTAAAACCTGAGTTTTTAAAATGATGAATTCATTTTTTTAAGGGGAACAAAGTTTTCCAAACTTACCTGGCCCTGTGTGTTAAAGTAAAAACTCTCTCTCCACAACCCCGTAATTAACTATCATTAACCACATTTTTTGTGGTTACTGATAGTTAAAGCTGAGTTCTGTTTCCAGCCACACCCAGGACTGATTACTGTTAGACCTGTTGAATCAGGAAATCGCAGTCTGTCTGACAAAGTGAAGAAGCAACAGCAACAGCAACATGCCACGATTCAACGAAACAGCTGAGAAAGAAAGTTACTGACGTCTATCATTCTGTAAAGGGCTACAAATCCATTTCTAAGGCTTTGGACTCCAGTAAAACACAATGAGAGACATTATACAGAAAATAGAGAAGACTTGGAACAGTGCTGAACCTTTGCAGAAGTGACCAGCCTGCCAAAATGACTCCAAAAGTGCGTCAACGACTCATCCAGGAGATCACAAAAGAACTCAGAACAACATCTACAGAACTCCAGGTCTCACTTACCTCAGTTAAGATCAGAGTTCATGATTCCAGTAAGAAAGAGACTGGGCAAAAATGGCATCCATGGGAGAGCTCTAAGGTTACAGAAAACCACTCCTGTGCATAAAGAAAACAAAGTCTTGACTCACATTTCCAAAAAATAAATAAATATATATATAAAATTCTGTGGATTGACGAGACAAAAGCTGAACCTTTTGAAAGGTTTGCGTCCCATTGCATCCTATGTTAAACTTACACAGCATTTTAATCAGAAATGGTGGTGGTAGTGTGACGGTCTGGGGCTGCTTTGATGCTTCAGGACGACTTACCTTAATTAATGGATCCATGAATTCTGCTTTCTACTAGAAAATCACGATGAAGATGTTATCTTCATGTAATGTTAAAACTGCTCGATCTAAAACATGGAAAAATAGTACACACACATCTGACCCTGTAACCTTGTTTTATGGTCATGTGACCACTAGAGTCTATCCCCTCTTTGAACAAGTGGCGTGAAACAGCATGGACAGGTGGCCAGTGCCGCTCAGAGCTAACACAAGCACACACTCTAATTTTCACACTATTTCTTCTCAGCTTCAAGCACTGGATGCACAAAAGCTGCGTTTTCTTGTGATTAGTTATCAGTTCTTGGTCATTTCTATTCAGTCTCAGGATATTTACGGTGAATCAGGACTAAAAAGCTTTTTCTTATTTCTACATGTAGATGCAAATTAGACTTTATTTTGATTCACTGCTTGTGTGGAGCACAGTGTGATAGGTTTGATCCATCCTCATAAAGTAAGGGATGATCTCTTTTGATAAAAGAAAAAAATCTAACATGCCCCTTGCTTCCTTTTTTCCATTTATAGTATTAATGGGTCCAGTACTCCATTTGAAGTGTCCTCATTTTTGTGCTCAGGAGTTGGAGTTGCTGGAGGATGTGTGGAGAGGAGAAGTCCAGGACCTGCTTTCTCAAATCACTCAGCTTCAGGCGGAGAACAAGAGGCTGCTGGTGAGCCTCTCACTTAAAGAGACACCGGTCACAGAGGAAGATCTGCAGAAACATGAAGGTGAGTTGATTACCAAAAAGCTCTCGGCCAGGGTTTAATACACAAACCTTGAATAAGAAAACAGTTGGTGTGTTACATCTTAGTGGAAAACTCAAGGGATGTATGCTCGTAGTCATGGTCAAGATGGCCTGCTATAGTTCAAATCAAGCATCAAAATAGAGAAGAAAAGTGATCTAAGTGACTCTGAACATGGCATGGTTGTCGCCGCTAGATGGATTGTGTCAGTATTTCACAAACTGCTGATCTGCTGTGATTTTTTTTTTTCTTCAGGCAACCATTTCTAGGGTTTACAGAGAATTGTTCAAACAGAGAAAATATACAGTGAGCGGGGGGTGAAAATGTTTTGTTGATAACAGAGGTCGGAAGCAAAAAACCACACTGCTTCAGGCTGTGAGAAAGGCAGCAGTAACTCAAATAACCACGAGTTACAACAAAGGTGTGCAGAAGACCATCTCTGAATGCACAACATGAGGAACCTGAAGCAGAAGACCACACTGGGTGCCACTCCTGTCAGCTAAGATTAGAAAACTGCTTCACAGGCTCCTCAAAACTGGACAACAGAAGATTAGAAAAATGTTTCCTGCTTCCTTAAACCCCACAGTCTACCCGAGTGCTCTTGCTGACCGTATCCATCTCTTTATGGACAGATCTTAAAACTCAGATCATCTCAACCAGGTTTCTTGAAGGTGACAGTGAGATCACTGTACTCAAATGACCTCTACAGTCACCCCATCTCAGTCAAACAGAGCACCTTTGGATGTGGTGGAATTGGAGAGTCACATCATTGATGTGCAGCTGACAAATTTGCAGCAACTGTGTGATGCTGTCATGTCAATATGATCAATTCAATTCAATTTTATTAATACAGCGCCAAATCACAACAACAGTTGATTCAAGGCGCTTGATATTGTAAGGTAAACCCTACAATAATGCATACAGAGAAAAACCCAACAATCATATGACCCCTGTCAGCAAACACTTTGGCGACAGTGGGAATGGAAACCTCCCTTTTAACAGGAAGAAACCTCCGGCAGAACCAGCTCCAGGGAGGGGCGGCCATCTGCCGCAACCAGTCGGGGTGAGACAAGGAAGACGGGATAAAAGACATGCTGCGGAAGAGAGACAGAGATTAATAACAAGTATGATTCAGTGCAGTGAGGTCTATTACAACAAAAATCTGTGAGTGGTTAGCATTGTTCCTTACAACAAGAAGATCCTGGGTTCGAATCCAGCATCTGACCTTTTCCTCCCTGTGTCTTTGTTGGTTCTTTCTGGGTACTCTGGTTTCCTCCCACAATCCATAGACATGCAGTTAGTGGGCTTATGTTAAATAATGATTCCACATTGTCCATAGGTGTGAATGTGAGTGCGAATGGTTGTCTGTCTCTATGTCTTAGTCCTGCGACAGGCTGGCAACGTGTCCAGGGTGTATCCCGCCTTTCGCCCTATGGTAGCTAGGATAGGCTCCAGCCCCGAAACCCCCCTTGTGACCCTGTTTTGGATAAGTGGAAGAAATGTACAAAAAACTAACATCCAACACGAGAAAATCCACTGTGCAAACTGGTTGAAACTAAACCGAACTGAAAATAAAAACTCAAATGTTATTACAAAAAAAAATGCAAGACTGTAATAATTCTGCTCTGACTCTTAATTAGATCAGTCTTGGCTGAAAATCTGAAATGTGTTTCATACTCATAACAGTCTGCTGTATGTTACACACTGCCACCCTGGGCATTAGGCTGTGCAGAGAGAAAGCCGGGAGCTTGTGAAGAAGTCTATTTTTGAATCTGACTAAAATATTGCTCTGTGTGGAAGTGCTTTTATACTTACTGTCAGGGCTGCAGCACATGCACTGGTTATAAGCACACAAACAACAGGATATTACATGACGTGACTCCTCTGGCCACTGACACCTTATCTGTCTCAAACATATACATCTATGGTACTTTATTTTCTTGAATCTCAAAGCCTAAAAATAACCAGGCTTTGAACATTTGTGAAAGTTTCTATGTTTTGGGAAAATAACCTATCATATTTTACTTTAAATTGAAAAGTTAAATATTTTTATAAATCTTTTGCACTCTTTTATTTTGTGTATTAATACACCAAATTAAGAAGGTGTACACCATGGAAATTGTGTCATTTAATAGTTTTAGGCGTTTGCTGTTTAAAACAAATGACTGTGACCCTGGTGTTTAACTGGAGGATTTACAGTACACAGTGCATCCGTACTGAAAAATATTCCTGTGGATTCGTAACTCTTTAAATGTGATTGTAGTTCTGTTCAGTTTCATGCTGGTAAAAGTTTTTAGTGCAAAATCTGCCCGAGTGCAGAATTTCACTCTGTTTTGATTTTTTAAAAACCTATTTTACTGTGCTTATTTGAATGCTTATGTAACCCTTCTGTGAGCATTAATTAATTTATTTGGATTACAGCAGGAATGTCAGAGAAAGAAAAACAAGTGATGAAGAAACTTCAAGACTTGGTGGATAAACAGAGAGACGACATCCGGGCTAAAGATCATGAGCTAACGCTAAAAAATGAGGATATCGAGGCGGTGAGGATTCATAATACCTGCATCTAAGAATATATGTACTATAAAACAAAAAACAACAACTTTGTTTTACTAGAATTCATGGAGCAAATTCTCTGAACTTCAGCTCCAGCTGCAGCAGCATCGGCTGATAAGGATGAACCAGGAGCTTCTTCACAGGATAGGACTGATGGAGGCCCAGGGCAAGACCCTGATTCAGCAGAGGGCTGAGCTGGAAGCTGCAGCCCAGGCACAACACCAGGAAGCGGGGGCTCTGCGGCTGGAGGTCACCAGGCTGAAAAAGGAGCTGCGGGAGCTGGAACAAGAGATAGAAGTCGCTCAGACAGAAGAGTTGCCTCTGTCAAATTCTGAGATTTCTTCACCTGCATCCCCACTGATGACTGTAAGAAAAAATACCTGATATTTAGCAGATGTTCAAACTATTTGTGGGTGGGTTTTTTGTTTTGTTTTTTGTTTTTTGCCTAAGTGGCTTTTATGTGTCACAAATCTAGTCTGCAGCAGCAGCAGCTCACCTTTCTAGCTCCTTCAAACCAAATTCAGTGTGGGTGGAGTGTGGGGCAGATCCAGACTTTCTGGAAAACTGTTTCGAGTGCGACAAGAGTCTTTCCTTTCTCCGAAAGTCAGCAAACAGAGAGGATAACAAGGAAGACGGAGATGAAGAGGAGAACTCAACAACATTGTTGCTGGTAATGTCCACGTACACTTTACTATTTAGCCAGTGCTGCTGTGTTGTGTTATAGCAGAGCTGCCATAAGACTGTTTACACTAAATAGTCGTTATCACCTTGTCATAGTGAGGCACAGCAGTCAGCTGGTACCATCTTTAATCTCACTACTCACAGATGTATCTGGTTTAATCTAATTTAACTTCAGGTCAGTGGTTCTCAAACTGTGGGGTGGGCCCATTGCTGGGACACAGAGCCACTGCAGGTGGGACATGAAGGACCAGGGTTAAGTCATAGGGTGAAACTAGGAGACCAGATTTTTGGGACTCCAGTGAACCATGAAACCATGATCTGTTCCCTCTATACGTGCTGGCCTCCAGCTCACACTGAAGTGGTTCGAAGCTGAGTGTGAGGCAGCGAGAGTGAGAGCAGTGGGTCAGGGATGAGATGCTGCCGCTAGTGGTGGAGTTAAAGTATCTCGGGGTTTTGTTCATGGGAGAGGGGAGATCGTCAGACGGAATTGGTGCTTCGAGTGTGTTTGGGTGAAAAGATCACCAAGCTGTCGTTTTGATCTAGGTCCCCACCCTCACCTGTGGTCACACAGCTTTGGGTAGTGATCAAAAGAATGAGATGGTGGATATAAGCAGTGGAAATGAGTTTCCTCAGAAGGGTGGCTGGCCTTTCTCAAAGGAAGCCAGCTGAGGTGGTTCAGTATCCAACTGGGATCAATTGTGGGCGAGGTGTTCCAGGCATGTCCTAATGGGAGGAGGCCTCGAGGTAGACCCAGGACAGGCTGGAGAGATTACTTCCCTCAACTGGTTTGGAAATACCTTGGTATCCCCTGGATGAGATGGAGGAGATGACTGGGAAGAGGGAGGTCTGGACTTCCCTGCATAGGCAGATGTCTTCACAACCCGACCCCAGATAAGCAGCCGATATTGATGGATCTGTAGTTTGTTGATGCTACCGTGGGATAATGAGGTGTGCGTAGCCATGCCAGGATACTGGCATTGCCACAGTTTTAAGGGAGGAGCAAGGTAAAAATAGTTTGTCCACACTTTGTTACTAGCTACGCCTCATTGGTGCTGAAAATGATCAAGCACTGGATGTTTAAATATGCCTGAAGTGATGCACAGCTGGGAGAAGATTGTTTCACCGTTTAGCTAATCTGCCATAACACCATGACATTCACTGGACTGATGTTATTGTTAATGCTCATATCACAATGCCAGAGACATTAGACAGGTCAGCGTAGGCAGATTCAGACAAACTTTGTCATGTAGTGTTTCCTTAAGGCGATGAACATCTGTCAGACATGACCTTTTTTTGTTAAATGCACAAGAACGGCGACTCATGGTTAAAACTTTGTTTGCTCCTTTTTCTGTTGTACATTGCTGGAGAAAACCAGTTTCACTTCAATAGCATAACCAACCTCTTTCATTTTATAGTATCTGTTTTTAAGCTGTGCAGTAGAAAGAATGAATATTTGTTTTGAATGCAGAATGGATCGACGGATGAAGAGCCAGAGGAGGACTCGGACAAGCCTCGCTTCACCCTGCAGGAGCTGCGGGACGTCCTGCAGGAGAAGAATGAACTCAAAGCTCAGGTGTTCCTGCTGCAGGAGGAGCTGGCATACTATAAAAGGTACGACTTCCTTCACAGGCATAAAATTTGACTCGGCGAGGATGCAAAAGCTGACATTGACCTCCTCCTTATCCTTCAGTGATGAGCTGAACACTGAGGAGAACACCGGCTCCATTGTCTCCTCTCCGTCTCCTCCTCCGAGCTTACCTGTGGCTGATCAACGTGAATCAGGAATAAGACGCTTGTGAGCGATGAGTTTGTTTGTTATGGTTTTCTTACTCCTGTTATTTCAAATATTAGTACTCTGCTCCTGTGTAGGATAACATGGCCTAATAATACATGACTCAATAATACTGATTTCACATAGTCTTTACATATGATGTGTTTTCTCTCTTTTCCTGTCTTGACAGGATCTTCACAGCTATTATGCCAATGGTGGCTGCCGGTTTGATCACAGACGATCCAACATTGTTGCCAATCAGAAGACTTTCCTTCGTATGACCTTTTTTTTTTTTTAAACCACACCATCTCAGCACGAGTTTTCTGACCGACACGCCTGGGTTTAATGGCTCCGATCCTTAATTATTAAAAACTAAAACCATCTTGTGTTTTTACATTTAAAAATGTGGCAATTTAAGGAATTGATGTTTATTTTGATGATACTTCTTGTTTTTATTTTTGCTACTTTGAGCTTTACATAAACTTCAGCAGTTAAAATGTGAGGCAAATGGCCATATCTGGACCTTCTCAGGTGTTTTTATGACCTGTCACAGTCATATTTTATGTCTTTGGAAAGTCACCACCTGTAAGTGCTTTGCTTTATGCAGATATACTGAGGGAGACTTTTGATGCTGCACATGTCAGACGCTTTATATTAGCATTTAAGCTTCTTATTGCATGGCTCCAAATACATATACACATATACAGAGTATTTGTTGAGACTATAAACTGAATGTCTTGTTTGGTTCATGTTGAGATGCATCTGATAGCAAAGTAAGCACATGATCATGAAAGTTGAAGTGCCTTTATTCTATGAGCTCATCATGAAGAGAGTGCGCTTCTGCTAATCACTACAGCCTGGCACCAAACATCGTGGTGTACACTGGCAAGTCTTAATCTCCAGGAGAAGTATATTCCATCACAAATGAATACTCTATAAATACTATCATAGCTACTGGTATGTGCCAGGATGCACAGGGAAAATAATGTTTGTTTGAAATAAAGTAATAAAGTTTTATTTTTAAACTTTTGAATTTTTTTGGTGTCACAATGAAGCACAGTCGATATTTTGCTCTTTTTAAAAAAATATCTTCATTAATTTTGCAAAATTAGCAAGCAGAAAGAAAGCAAAACTGAAAAAGGAATAACTAGGGAAAAGAGCTCCTGTTGTTATGCATAGAATACCATTTGACCATTAAAAACATATCCAGACACATTAATGCTGAATTAATGATTCACAGAGCAGTGGAAGTGCATTTTATGGGCATTACAAACCATTAACTATGTATAACTATTACAACTGTTAAGCACTGTCCTTACTTCTGTATCATAAAAATACTAAAAGGGCCATTGCTCTCAAATCAACCAAGCCTTCTGCTCAGCCATCTTTAATTTGCATAAACATTTCATGGTCCAAAATTTGAACATTTGTAATGACAGCTGAGATATTTTAGCTTCATATATCAGATAATTAATATAGCAGACCTTCTTTTCCACACATTGAAATCTGAAATTATGTCTGGACATAATTATTTCAACAACTATTAAAGTTAAAAACCTGAAAATTCTACTGGTTATACTTCTCATAAAAACGAGCCAGAATTAGCCATACATCAAAATTTTTCAATTTACTTGGTAGTTAAAATTTAAATTAAAAAAAGGTCAGTAATCCTGCAAAGTCCCATAATTGAGCACACATAAATAAAACTTCAAATTGCTAAAGATTTCTGAAAGACATACAGTTGAATTACACAATACCATGATATTTTTATTCAGTTTATATGCTAGATTAAGCTACCCCACAAAAAGTACACAAAGATCGGAGATGTACAGTTTCTGAATTCCTGAAACAACTATTTTCCCAGATATGACCCACTGGAGCACAGATGTGGGTTAAATTTTATCCGGAACAGCCTTAATGTACAAAAACTTGTACTGAACAACAGTATAAAATGTAAGAAAATATTTTTTGTTTATTTTGTGTCATTTTTGGAAAAGTCATCAAATTTCAATCTTAAAGATTTAGGATATTTTTCTCCCAAACCTTTTGTTTTACTGTAGTTAGTCAGCTAACCAGAGCCACTAAAACAAAATACATGAAATCACGTGTTTTCTCAACTGATTTGATTGAGAGAAGTTCAGAGAGACTATATGAAGAGTGATCTCTCACTCACAAACTGCATTATTTTCCTTACAAACCGACGATCTATGATCTGGCGGATAGCCAGAGCCGAGTGAGCGCTCTTGACTTGTACACGATCTTTGTACTCACCTGTCGCTAGGATACTTTGCCCTCCTCTGCTGTCCGACAAGTCACGCCATTGGTGCGTGAGTGATGGGGGAAGTGCTGCTTCTCCAAAGTTAGCCACCTTCGCACTGTACGAGCCGAAGACGAGAAAGAGTGAGAAAGAGTGGGGTTTAAGGACTTATGAGTGGCATCCGGGGGAAAAAAGTCGAGTTTATTTCGGCCGTCCCGCTGAGTCATGGAGTTTGGTGAGGAATCGTCACCAGCTCGGGCTTTCGAGAAGGACGCTTTCGAGCTCACCGTGGAAGATGTGTATGATATCTCGTACGTAATCGGAAGAGATCTGTTAAAAATCAGCAGCACTGGCGAAGAAGTGTCAGACCTACAGTTTAGGATAGTCCGTGTGTTGGAAATGTTTGAGACTTTGGTCAACAAATACAACTTGTCTCTGGAGGAGCTGAAAATGGAGCGGGACAACCTCAAGAGCGAACTGGATAGGATCATCAAGGAGGGCTCCTCCAGGCCTGGCGCGGTGAGTTTGACGCTCTATAGTTCAGGCTCTTGTCAGATAGAAGTAGACCTTTAAATATGGCTTTTTGTTCCTTTAATCACAGCAGACTTCGGGACCGAACCAGCTGGTGGTGGACCTGACAGACCCCAACAGACCCCGTTTCACTATGCAGGAGCTGAAGGAGGTGCTGCAAGAGAGGAACCAGCTGAAGGCTCAGCTCATGGTGGCCCAGGAGGAGCTTCAGCTGTACAAGAGGTAACCGGTGTGAAATGTAAAGTTCACTCTGGCTTCTAAGAGTACATAAAATAATGATAAATCTTTATTTATATCAGAAACATGTAACTAATGCACCAGCTCAGTGTCAGTACACCTGAAGACTGTGCGCTTGTAAGAGGATTTATTGATGGGCTGCTGTATAATGCTATGTCAGACTGGCTTGAATCTCATATCAGTTTCAACTAGAATTACACTGAGTCCATGGGGAAATGCATAAAATGATCAGCCACTCTATTAGGTACAACTTGCTAGTAGGTTGGACCACTTTTTGCCTTCAAACCTTTAATTCTTTGTGGCACAGATTCAGCAAGGAGCTGGAAACATTCCTCAGATTTTGATGTTGACATGACAGCATCACACCATTGCTGCAGACTTCTGGGCTGTTAGAGGCTGTTAGATTTGGTGACTGTGGTTGCCATTTGAGCTGAACTCACTATCATGTTCAGGACACCAGTTTGAGATGCTCTGAGCTTTGTGACACGGCCTGTTATGGAAGCGGCCATCTGAGGATGGGTACACAGTAGTTATAAAGATCAGGTAGATGGTTTCTACGATGCTCATTTGGTACAAAGAAGCCCAAAGTGTGTCAAGAAAATATCCTCCGCATCAGTATACCATGACCACCACCACATGCCTGAACCATTCAAACAAGGCGAATTGAGCTGTGTTTTCATCTTGTTTTATGGCAAATTCTGACCCTGCCATTGCAGTACAACTCGAGATTCCTCAGACCAGGCACCATTTTTCTAATTTTCTGTTGTCTAATTTTGGTGAGACCGTGTGAATTTGAGCCTCAGTTTCTGATCTGAGCTGGTCTTTATAAGGCTAGCCTCTGTAAACCATAGAGATGGTCACGTGGGAAAATCCCAGCAGATCAGCAGTTTATGACCTACTCAGACTAGCATGTCTAGTTTGACCCCCATGCTACTTTCAAAGTCACTTAAACCACCTTTCATCTCTGTTCTGATGTTTGGTTTAAAGTAACACCTCCTCTTGACCAGGTCTACATGCATAAATCTATTGTGCTGCTGCTATGTGATTGGCTGATTAGATATTTTTGTTAAAAAGCAGTTGAACAGGTGTACCTAATAAAGTGCCAATGAGTGAATGTGACTATGTAATTATAACTTTGAGCGCACAAATATAAGAACCACAATTAACTAATGAATGCAAAAAGATATATGCATATTATAGAAGCCTCACATTTCATTGTCAGTCACATCATGTTTTTTTTATTTGTTGTCATTTTAAAGCAACAAGATCGATCATGTCTCATAAAATGAAATGTTAGCCTGTCTTATAAAATACTCTTAGTGATCATAAATATCCCCGTTCTCCTGCAGTGGGATCCTGCCACAAGCTGAACCAGCCATGGTGGAGGTGTCTCCATCTCCACCATGGCAGGTGGAGACACCAGCAGCTACAGAGCACAGAGCAGCCATGATAAACGACACGAAAGAAGAGAAGACGACCATAGGCAAACTGTGAGTAACAAGCTGGGTCGGTTTACCAACAAAAGTATTTACAGATGACTAAAAATAATATAAAGAAAGCGGAAAAAAGGAAGTAAAAGTAGGCCTTGTTTTAATCCGTGCACCTCAAATGGAAAGGATTCAGAAGAATTCTGAGCAGCAACCACATGATGCTGTAATAAGCTAGCGGGGAGATTGTTCTCACAGCCCGTCTCCTGTCTCCTAATGATATACTTGTGACTGGGTGAATTCATGCTGACGCTCAGGATGTTTGTCTGAGCAGTGAACGAGACGCAGAGAGAGAGTACGCCTCTGCCAAAATGCTTCCGTCAGTAATCACAGCCTCCCGTGATGCAGCGTTGTTTGCGTGCTCCATGTTCACCAGCGCTCCTTCAGCTAACTCTGACCTTTCTGTTTGTAGGTTTTCATTCAGGCGAAAATGAGAAGAAAAGCTTTCACGGAGAACTGACCATGTAGGAGACAAACAGGATTTGTCGGCACAATTAAACTCCTTTTGTACTTTTTTAAGAAGTATTTGTCAGTTTTAATAAGCATTATATTTTGTACTAATTTTTAACCTAAGATGTTTTTAGAGTAGACATCTTTTAATTCTGTAAAAATAAGATATGGAAAGGAAACTGGAAAGTATTATTTAACAAGTGATGATCATGTTAGATGTTCAAGTTTATAATTATTTATAAACTTGAACATCAGCTTTTTTTTTCTTTTCTTTTTTTTTAATGAGCCATGATAAGGTCTTTATGTAGGCACATTCCCATCACTCATCTCTATGTTGTTAATGAAGGTAAAATACCCAATCAAAATCTAATAATAAATTTGATTGTACTTGTGTTTTGTCTCAAGTTGAATATTTAAAAAGCTTTTGTTTTATCATATTTTAGCCAGATGCCAAAAATATTGCTAATACACAAATTACAGCATAGATTTACAGGCTTTAATCAGCAGATTACAAGGCTTTGTTCTTGCTGAAGTCCTCTTGTTGACTTCTGTTTTGTGTGAAGAAGGGTAGGCGGGACAAAAAGGTAACCCACTCTCAGATTTCACTGAACTGTCTTTAGCTTTGTTGACAGTTCAGTTCATGCATTGATGGAAAAACCTGGTCACTCAGTATATTTAGATTAGTCACCAACCACCACATCGTAACACTGCTCCCACAGGCTCGTACTGTAAGCTTGACTGCTACATCACATCATCCCCTCTCTTCTTATCCTAAGATGCCCATCACTCTGGAACGGAGTAAATCTGCACCCTTCGGACCACATGACCTTTTTCATTGCTGCAGGGTCCCATTTTCTTGCTCTCTAACAAATGAACCCTTTTCCCCCCCAATTAGCCTCACTGATAAATGGCTTTAACACTACACACTTGTTTAACCCAATCTCAAGTGCTAGCTGCATGTGTGGAAATATTCCTACTTTCACTCTTAAAGCCTCGTCAGGTAAGTTTTAAAGAAATTTTGTAGCAAATTTTGCTTTTATCTCCGAACTGCACTAAAGAATGTGTGGACATATAACATGGAGGGACCATGCAACATAGTATTTAGAATTCAGTATCTGCTGGAGACCATTGCTGGATACAAGCCCCTCTACATGGGCTTTTATTTCTTTGTGCCCTCCTTTCCTACGTCCTCCTGCCTCTGACCTGGACATCAATTTCAGTACGCTATGTTGACGGATGTTTCAATTGCTAAAATAAGTGTAGGAATTAGGAGATTTAAAAAGGACGGAAGAGGCACAGATGTAGATGTTATTATACAGGTATTAGGTGAAATAGAGTTATTTGTATTCATGTTGTTTTAAGTTATAAAAGATGACAGAGTAATTACACTTTTAGCCTTTTACCATTTAAGATTTTATATAAAAATGCACCACACTGCATCATGTTGCGAGTTTAATTTTGAGGTGACAGTAGCGCAGGAGGTGGAACAGGTCACCAATGGCGCTTTAGACTGCAGGGCTAGAGACTGGACTCAGCGGAGTTGTTCTCCAATGTGTTCATTGTATGAATGAAGCAAGAATGACATGTGTTGCATATGGGAACCAGCCCATAATTAAGTGGCTCTAAATGTTAAATATCATCACTGTAATCACAGTAGTGGCTGGGCTATAACGGAACAATTCATAATGTACCGTCACTTTGCAATTTCAACAGAAGGTCTCATGGAGAAGAAACACTGCTGTAGTAAGTGAAAGAAATCTGCCAACATGACTCTCTGGGCTTAAATTGAAAGAAGTAAATGTGTATAAAAATAAATAAAAATCTATAATTTAATTACTTTGGTGTGCTGTGAATGGCCCAGGCTGTAAAACCTGTGAAAATATAGTTTAAAAAAAAATAAAAAAAATTATTCACAATGTTAGAAAAAGCCATCCCATGGGTCACATTGGAGTCGTCGCCAGGCCAATTCAGGCTCCTGGCCTTATGTTTGAAACCCCCGATGCACGATATGGTCTTGTCCCACCTGGAGGATAGTAGATGTGTCCCTTATTTAGTTATCGAATGCACCACCAATCATGTCACGGCAGGAATGAAGACCGCTTTATTCCTCAATTTACAGCACATGTAATAATTTACAAAAGCTAGAATGACAATTACTAAAGGAAACCCCGTTCACAGTGCAAACCTGCTTCTCAAAGAAAATGACTGCTACATTTCATAAAGATATAAAATCCTGATAAAATTTTGCAAAAATATACTTCACCAGCTGAAGTTTCAGCATCTATACAAAATAAAACATTTCAAGTATCACATCTTTTTCCATAAAGAAACTGGACAGCAGACGGGACAAATTCATATATTAACGGAAAAAAAAAAGAAAGTCAAGGTCTCAGTGTTTGAGCCATGGGTGAGCAAGGATTGAGGCTTTACTCCGATCGCCATAATCGTAAAGCAGCTCCTCGCCTGCATTGATGTCTCTGGAGGCGACCAAGATCAGGTGAGGCGTTCCATCGATGGGGTGAAGCCTCGTCTGGCAGTTTCCAGTTTTACAGTGGTTGATCAGCCTACCGAGCCGACTCGTTTCCTTTGTGGCATCAACACTGTGATACACAGATACAGACATGACTGTCACAACAAGTCAGGTGTCCATACTAAAATCACAGCTATTAAACTTTTGTTTTTAATTCTAGGAGATGTCTTTCGCATAATAAATGTCAGCTAGAATAAAGTTTTATAACAGTGCTTTTTGTGTTAAAGAAATAATTACTCATCCTAAAGAACAGACATGCTCTTATGATTCTAAAAAAAAAAAACAAAAACAAAAACAAAAAAAAAACACAACCCATGTACAACTAGAATTTCGATTTCCAGGAAGACAAAAATGATACAGAAAGTTTGGAGGAGGGAAACAAAAAAAAAAAAAAAAAAAAAAAAAATAATTAAAGGTGAATATATACAGGTCTATGGTGAGACGCCAACACTGAATAAACTGATGATTAAAGATTAATCTCACATACTTTGTTTGTGTGCACGGGTGTGAGACCTCTTGCAGAGCGATGCCATTTGGACTTACCAGTAAGTTTTGGATTGATACTGGAAGTAGTACATGTAACAGCCTGTTTGAGGATCCTCAGCGTACTGGGCCTCTCTGATTTTAGCTTCAGCCAGGTCCAGCAGGTCTCCGTGATACTCCACGACAAAATCTCCCCTTTTGAAACCACTCACAGCGAATACCCCTCTCCCCTTGCCGTCTATGTTTTTGACCTGTTCACAATGGAAATGTACACTGGATTAGCAAATGTTGCTTAACCAGCATTCAGGGATCATGTCTGCATGCAGAGTTTTGTAGTGGCACAAATGTAAACATTACCTCCATTCCTTCTTCAATGTCATTCTTTATCAGGTCATCGAGGTGCTTGTGTTGCTCACTCTGTTAACAGTGATTAGATCATTTAGTGTTTTTTTTTTTTGTTTTTTTTTTTTTTGTTTTTTTTTTTTAAAGAGAACATCAAGACAACTTTATATACATTTTTGTTTTAATAGTCCCCCCCCTCCCTTAAGAATTGCTCGACAGCCACTCCACAGAGACCATTTCCAATGAGGCTTCAGTGATTTTAAGGGCCAGATGTATATCTCAAGTCCTGTGCGTACACACGCACGCACGCACGTACGCACACTGTTTTCTTTACCATTTTTTCATAGATTCAATTAAAGAAACTAATAAATTATGTGTTATTTAACTGTTTCTTTGCCAACTGTGTAGACAACTCATGGTTCATCCCTCGAGTTAGGTGCCTCTTCTATGCTTTAATGAGTCATAGGTCAGCATTTAGTGGCTTCCCCCCCCAAAAAACCCAAAAAAACCCCCCCAGAAAGTATGAAGTCCTTTCAGGAATCTGGAAAAGTATTAGTCAATACAGACCTTTAACTCTGCATTTGTTTTTCTGTTACTGCGCCTGATGGGAAAGTAGTCAGTGACCTTTCTGTTTTGAAGAGGTTTACTCTCCATCCTGAAAACAAGAGACATCAGAGTAATAAGTCATTATGCTTGTGCAAGTGAGTGTGAAAGAGTCCGTGCCCCCCCCTGTGTTTTTAATGAGACTGGCACGTTGGTGACATGTACTCACTTTTTTGCTCCCAGCTTGTGTCCATTTCTGCCCCGAGACTTGGATTTTGGGACACTGCCATCTGTTGCAGACCTGACGTCAGTATGCGAGGTGGAGCTTGGTTGCTCAGAGGCCTTTTCTCTTGTTTCATCACTATGACAAGCCATTTCAGCCTTCTGGACTTTGGATACCTCAGCTTTCATTTTATTGGGTGAGCCTTAAACACAGAAGAAACAAAAACACCACAATTATTTAAGAAGAACAGGTCAGTGAGCGCTACTACTACTAGTAGCCTGGAAAGTTGTGTAGCTCACATGAATGCTGATGAAACAGCAACTAAAAGGACAACAGTGAAATAACAGAGTAAGTGCTTAATTTACGAATTTACCTTTTTTCAGTCTTGGCATATCTGGTTTAGTTGAATCTGAATCATTTCCTTCCTGAATGAGCGTGCTTGAGCTGTCACTCAGAGGGGACCTGGGCTTGCTTGGAGTCCGTAGACTTGGGAGAACTGTCTGCACGTTACCTTTACAACCCTACAAAAATCATTATAAACATGGGTCATAAAAAGAAAGCTGTATGAGAGTGATCTGATACAATAAACAAAGTGTAGCATTTCATCACTGTTCAGAAGCTTGTCTAAATCTAGAGACATGTTGCACACTTAACACTGTGCTTTCCAGCACCTTTGAGAACAGAAAGCAGATTTTATCCATCGCTTTAATCCAGCCGAGTCCAAAAAAACAAACCATGAACAAATTGCAAAAACTGCACGGCTTGGTCTGGCAACTAACAAAGACTCTGTCCATAATCAGCTGTTTCTCATTCATTCAATACTTTATAACATATATAAAAGGGAACACTAAACTGAGATTTTCTGACAGGACTTGCAGGAAAATCTGCTCACAATTTAACCGATTCAAATATCCAGTTTAAATCAAGTACAGGAATGTGGATGCAGCAATCTAAAGTAAATTAGGAGCATACATTCCTGCCCCATAAAGTGCACAAACTGTAAAAAAGATGAGGCATTAATATTTTTCTGCCATTTGCAAGCCACAGGCCTAAATTTCAAATTGCTCAAATTAAATGTTCAAGTTTTTCTCCCTCTCTACTTGTGTCAAGCTGAGTTTCTCTCACAAGAATTCACTAACATGGTCAGTGAATCCTTGTACTACTGTTGGTCATTCACTCAGCCACAGAGAAGGAGTAAGTTATAACATACAAATAGCTGAACTGAAACCAGGTGTCCATTGTGGCCGGACTCTTGAGTAAGGACATGAAGGACCTAGAGGGAATCTCATACTTATTTTACATCCACTAGCTAGATAAAGCCCACTTTGATTAGCTATTTTGTAACTATCAACCCAGTTACTTTGGTGTAGCATGAATACTCAGAAGGGAGGTGTTTATCAGTAAAGCTAAAGCTGTAAAACCTATAAAATTAAAGTTAAAAGTCAAAAATGTAGGTCTTCTTTCAACCTGTCCAGTTGGGCCGTACTGGAATATCTGCCGGGCAGCTTCTGGTCTCCGGGCCCTTATTTTTGAAACCCCTAGTTCACAACATGAAGCGGAGGATTTACCCCTTGCAAGAGTAACACTAATTGGTTTACCAGAAAATGTGAGCTTCCTGCTTTGGAGATGCATAAGCTGAGGAGAGCCTTGTTACCTTGTTATTTGCTGGCTTGTTTTCCTTTGTCTCCGTCAGTGAGGTTACTGTATCTTCAGCAGGGTTCTCTGGCTTTTTGTCGGCTCTCAGCACATTTTTCTTCCCTGCATAAACATAGACATGAATAAATTTGAGCTCTTCTATCTAACAATTCATTGACATATACGACAAAAAAAAACCCACTACCGCTGAGTTTAATTTGTAAACAGCCACGTGTATTTTAACAAACCTAGTCCCTTTTTTTTTTGCGCTAACTAGCATTTAGCAGTCAGCTACTACACAAACAGCAACACGTCTCAGTTACCTTTTGCCATGTCAGTACACAAATAAAAATCCACAGAGGACGTGGGAGCTGTTAAATGCAGTCCTGTGTCTTCTAGTTCCTCACTGTACTCAGTTCACTGCAACAACAACGACAAATATCAGACCGCATCACTCCGGAGAGAGCGTGGAGGATTTAAAAATACTACTCCGCTTCTCATTGGCTCTTAAGTACAGACGGGAGGGGCTTGGGTTTGAAAACAGCTCTCTGATTGGCCCCAGCTGACTACTCTGCGTGTTATCGGTCTCTTTGCAAAAGTTTTTCTCAGTGGCATTAAATAACAGTTAATGATAATTATTTTAATAGCAACACAAAACAATCTGTTTTGCCTGTTTACCTGTAAAGAGCTTATAAATCCAAAAAGTAATATTAACGGAATATAACATCGCAAAGATAAAAATAAAAGACAACAACTTACAGCTAGAGATCATGATTTTTACTTAGATATGGCTAGAATTGAGCACAGACCCACATTTGCTTTTTAAATAAAACTTTCTAAATAAAACATCCTATTAATGTAGAGAAAGAGATTTTTACTGACATCTAGTGGCAAAAGGATGTAAGAGGTACTGTTAAAAATTATGCAGACGTACTGGTCTGAGTATTGTAAAAAAAAAAAAAAACAACTGCTGATCCGCTGGGATTTTCCCACACAACCATCTTTAGTGTTTTCAGATAGTAGTCTGAATGAGTAAAGATATCCAGTGAGCAGCAGTTCTCTGGGTTAAAATGCCTTCTTGATTATAGAAGTCAGAGGAGCCCAGACTACTTTGAGCTGATAGGAAGGTAACAGTAACTCCAATAACCACTTGTTATGGTATTTCCTTGGCATACTTTATGCCCCTTGGTACCAACTGAGTATTGCTGCTGAGCATCCCTTTATGACCACAGAGCACCCATTTTCTGATGAATAACACACCATGTCATAAAGCCAAAAGCATCTTAAACTGCTTGAGTACTCAAATTGCCTCCACAGTCACCAGATCTCAATTCAATAGAGCCCCTTTGGGATGCGATTGAACAGGACATTTATATCATGGATATTCAGCCTACAAATCTGTGCAATGCTATTATGCAGGTATGGACCAAAGAGGAATGTTTCTGACACCATCTTGAATCTATGTGAAAAGAATTTAGGTAGCTCTGGAGGAAAAAGGGATCTAACTGGGTAGCAGCAAGGTACTTAAAGTGTCCAGCAACTGTAATTCATTTCAATGCAATTTTTCAGCATCCTATAATCAGTATAAATAGAAGCAAACGTTTTTTTATGTTCATTTGCAATAGGTCCACTTATATATTACTGTGTTCTGGTGACACCTTTAGGTTTCAACATGAAGACATCCACAGATCAACTTGTCTCTTTTTAAGCTTTTTCTTGTGAAATTCAAATATGCTGAATGCTCCATGGCTTCCAAAATTTTTGCCATCCTACTTCAATCTAAAGGTAAACGAAGCAGACCCCCCTATTTAACTCAAGTTTAGACTCACACGAATAAACAACCAATCACACATAACTTTATTTTAATCCTTATGTGACACACTGATACTGTGCCTGTCTGAAGCTAAACAAATAAAATCTTGTTATTAGAGCTGACAGCACTTCTTCAGACTGAGGCTTTACAGACACAACGTGCAGGATCATTCAAGTATCTCTGACCTCACCGACCACACACACACACACACACACACACACACACACACACACACTCATACAGTGTCATTTCCGGGCTTGGAGTCTGCAGCCAGCGCTTCTTTCAACAGTCTCTTTCTCTCCAGGTTCTCGTTGGCCTTCCTCCTCTTTTCTTGCTTCCTGAGCACAGACTCCTTCTTCTTCATCACAACTTCACTGAGCTCTCCTTTGTACGCAACGTCGAGTTTCTCCCTCATAATCTCTCGGGCACGTTTTCGATTTATGTCCACAGATCTGGTCTGGTGGCACTAGAGAGGAGATTAAGAGACAACAAACAATATCAAAGGTATTCCAGATGTACTGGACACCATTACACGATTAACTATTGGTGAACAAAAAGCACCTTCACCACGATCCCAGTGGGGATGTGCTTTAGCACCACGCAGTTGCTGGTTTTGTTGGTCGCCTGTCCTCCGGGTCCAGATCCTCTCACAAACTGCTCTTCGAGCTCATCCTCGACCAGGACAGGAAGGTCTATCAGGTCCTTTTTACCGGCTGCCAACACACACCTGAGTCCAGTGGGAGGGGGTCTAAGCAGCAGAGAGCCTATCCATGTGAGCCGCATGCGCACAAAGCTGGTGATCGGTACAAACACGGACATCACATCACAACACACCAGACCCTAACAGAGAGACAGTTTTCATTTCTCTAATCCAGAAAAAAAACAACAGGTGTCACAGGCTCACTCTTTCAGAGTCACGCTGAGCCTTTGTTTATGTTCCGGTTTGTCTTCTTTACTTCCGTCGTTGTGTTTTTCTTCGCGGACTGAATAGTGGGTATGCTGACTCTACAGCGCCACCACGTATCACTTAGCCACACTGGTGTACTTGAATAAGCGATTACTCTATTTTTCTAAATATTATCATTATTACTTTTCAACTTTAAGCTGTGATAGTGTTGATGGAGAAGTTTAGAGAAGGTCAGAAGGAGTTGGACCGTGTCTCTGTGGATATAGAGAAGGCACATGAAAGGGCGCCAGGAGAGAAGCTGGTACTGTCATGAGTGGGAGACAAGTGTGTGAGGGTGATGCAGGACAAGGGTGATCGGATGTCCCACTTTACGCAGGACTGGACAGCATTTTTATCCTTTGTCCTCCTGTCCCACATTCTGATTGGTTCTGCAGGGCATACACTTTTCTAAAATCTGACTTTTACTTCAATGTATAAAAAGGTTAGGGCTTTTGTTTTATTTTGTTTTCTATATTCCAAAGAAGGTTAGATTTATCATGCCTTACCGCTCACCAAAAAGTCACAAACTTTGCTGATTTGATTGAATATGATGGGGGGGAAAACACAAAGAAAAGAAAGGGGCGGGGGGGGGGGGGGGCAAGTAGGGTAATATGCATACATCCAAGCTGGAACCCAAAAAGTGCTACGAAACAGAAAAG